CCTCACCTGACGATCTGCACCTGAGGTGCGTCAGCTGTGATCTGAGGCAAGCATTAGTCTGAGGCACAACATATATATAGAATTAAATTTTGGCCAAATCTATTTTATTGAAAGGATTTAACAAATATATCTGTATAAATATTCTCTGTAAATATCCGCGTAGATATCTGTGTGAATATTCTGTGCGAATAATTTATATGAATATCCGTGTAAATATCTGTGTGAATATTCTGTTCGAATATTCTATGTGTAAATATCTGTGCGAATGTATATTCAGTCTACTAAACTGATTACTTATAACTCTAGTCATTTGGCCAAGTTCAAAGTTTTTTGATTCCAAATGATCTGCAAATTCGGCCAGAATTTTATAAGTAATCGATTCTGCTATTTTGTCTGAAACCTATTAAATTCACATGATATTCGATGAATATCCGCGAATTCTCTATGAATGTGCAAATTTTCTGAACATCTGCGAATTCTTTATGAATATCCACGAATTCTCTATGAATATCCACGAATTCTCTATGGCTATCCAAATTCTCTATGATTATTCGCGAATTCTCTAAATATCCGCGAATTCTCTATGAATATCCGTCCATGAATTCTCTATGAATATTCGCGAATTCTCGGAATATCCACAAATTCTCTATGAATATCCATGTAAAATGTGTATCATTCGCGAATGATTAAAATCCGTGAATATTCATTAAATAGTCATGATGGATATTCAAAGAATCCCAACTCTAATTTTCTGACTTCATAAAGATTTTTAGCTGCCCTAAAATTTATGAAGGCAGCTGCAATAATTTTTTCCGTATTTCTCGGCTTCGCTTCGCTCGGCGTCATACCGCAGAATCAAGTCTTAATTACGTTTCAGAGTCGCATAGATATAATTTTAGAAATGACCGTCAAATTCTTCATTACGATCTCTCAATATATCCTTTGACGATTAGCGATTATCAATTCATCTGTTCTATTTTATTAATCAATTTTATAGTTCTCCGATAGTGAAGTGGTGGGAGATTAGGGCACCCTTCTTATTTAAGGTAAAATAATCGCAAAATTTAACCATACACGGTAAAAGTCGATACTATCTGGTTCACACATTCACACAATTATTACAACATATGCAAATATATACAAAAAAATGGATCAGTCAAAACGTCACCTTATAAGAAATCACTGTACGGAATTTTTGGATATAAATTGCACGTAAACATATACGGGACAGTGCACTGAACAGCGCGTCTAAAACACGTAAAAAGATGCAACATTACGAGTATTACCACGCACTTTTACGTGTTATCATGTATACTTTTACGTGTAGTAACATATCTGGTAATTATTTTTGAACACGGATCATATGACGTAATAACATTTTGGTCTGGATTCAAAAATAATCACGCATACTTTTGCACACTTTTCCTTACAGTTACGTATGATTACGTTTTTAATTTTTCATTTTTTCGATAATTAATTTCTGTGCATTTCTGTGCATCTCTGTGCAGTGATGGAATTACGTTCATTCGTGCAGAATTCAGTAGTAATTCGTGCCTCGATTTTTATAGGGTTAAAATATTCCACAAGCAAGTTTATTTTACAATCAATTCGCAAACCAGTTTATTTCATATTTCCATTCGTTCATTTCATAATTACTTTGAAATAAGCTGTCGATAAAATGAGTTGTCAACGAAATAAATTGTCAGTGAAATAAGGTGTTTATGAAGTCTAAGAAGCAGCATCTTTGGAATTTTTTTTATTTATAATTTTTCTTTTCTGTTTAATATATTTTTTAAAATCAAAATTTTTAATGAAGTGAACTTGTCTGCGAGTTGATTGTAAAAAAAAAGCTTACTTGTGATTTAATTGTAGCACGAATCTTTATTCCTACGCAAAGTTTATGTTACTTATTTATGTGAGTATACATTATATAATCATCCCTTTTATAATCGCCATTTGCTCGGAACGATCCGCGTGATTATAAAGGACACTGTATCAAGAATGCAAAATTTTTTTTTAAATTACAAGTTTTAATTAAACCTAATGGTTCTTAAAAACTGTTAACATTAGTTAGATAGAGTCTTAAATTAAAGCTGTTCTCCAAGTTTTAAAGATATAAAATTAAATTCATAAAAAAAAATTCTTGTCGCAGCTGATGTTGAAATTTGGAGTCTCGATTTGAAAATATAAACCTTGCTAAAATTCACATATCAGATATACTCTTTAATTATCAATTCTAACCCTAAATATTAACCTAACCCTAAAAAAAAAAGCGGACAAAAACGCCCCAAAAAAATTTTAAATTTTTATGTCAAAATTTCAGCATCAGTTGCGACAATTCTTTTATTTTTTATTTATAAAGATTTAAAATTCCAAATAGGTATAATAAACAACTTGGTTGTTAGTGGGTTGGGTTGATCTAATCTTCAATTCATTCACTCCGGGTTGCTTATCCATAATAAAATTGTAAAACTTAGCGTTAGTGATTTTGGAAATTCAAAATTTATTGCAGATCCATCAATTCAATTAACAAGGGCATTTAAATTTGAATCTTTATTCGGCTTATTCTCACGTATTCTCTCAGGATTAAAAGAAAAACCAGTTTATGGAACACCATAAGATTACGCAGTCACTTATGAAGGTATATAATGACTTATGTCGATATATTATTTCTTTTAATTACAAAAATAATGAGGTCTGTTGATGAAACTGAACTTAAAGATGGTGGAGATAGTAACAAACTAGTTACAACTAACATTATTCAAAAAAATTAATTAGTAAAATTGAGGATGATTCTGTGCTCCGAATTTCTAAACATATTTTTAAACCCACTCCAATTTGGGTTCAACCCAGAGTGGCTCCATAGTATAACATTCCATTAACAACCCTAGAATAACGTGATTATTGGAACATAAATAAATAAAACTTTAGAATTTTAGAAATTAAAGTTATACAGAACTGTTTTTATTAGAACTCAGTGGCAGTTGTTTGTTTTTAAAAAAGCGGTTTGTTTGGATATAATTTCCTAATCTATAAATGCCTAGAAAAGGGGCCTAACGCGTTCGCCTATTTGTACAATTAAGGTTTCATCCAATCAAAATTTATTAAATACGAACGTCCGAACATATTGATCACTATAGACGTTGGTGAAACTGGTGAAATTCCTGGCGAGTGGTGGTGAAACTGGTGAAGTTGAATATAGCATTATTTAGTTTCACCTGCATCTATAGTTGACACTGTATCCTGTATTCGCTAGGGAAGCAACGTTAAAGTAGAATGTTAGTATAGTTATTAATGTATAAGCGTTAGAATGAAATCAAATTTAAGATTATCAATTTTTAATCAGTAACATCTCAAACTCAAATTTCGGTCTAATATAACTCAATTTTTAATTCTAATTTGACACGACAGTACAGTCATAAATATATATATTTAAATGAATTTTAAATAATTTTATGAACCGCAAATATCCAATCTATAAATTAACTTTGGCTTAACTTTGGCCACAAACAAATTTTATATTTAAGGATTCAAAGCTTAATTTATTGAACAGAGCTGAAGGGATAAAATGAAAGCTTTTAAGTCTAAATTTTTCGAAATGTCTGGTTTCCGGTTCAACGGATCCTGATTTAGGTTTAGCACCCAGAAATTAAACCTAAATTAGGTTCAATTTTGGATACCGAAATCTTGGTTTAATAATAAAAGAACAACAATATTTTAATATGAAAATCTAACTTCGCTAGACTTATTTATCGATCAATTTCTTGAATATTGATATCAAGAACGTAACTACAGTAAGACCTCCTTAAGTGCACCCCCTTGGAACCATAGTCAAAAAAAAGCAAAACGTGCACTTAAAGAGAGAGTGCATTTATAGAGAGCAAAATACATAATCCTTTATAAGTTGGGGCCAAGTTATACTGTGCATTTAAGGAGAATTTACATAGTACGTGCATTTATAGAGCATGCACTTAAAGAGGTTTTACTGTATCTTCAAATATTTAATTCGTCATGTTGAAACCACAAGTGTTTTATAGAAAATGAACCAGTAAAGGGAACGCAACACCTCTTCCCTTTTAAAATAGATAAAAATAGATAATTAATATAGCATCAGTGTCAATTCAGAACATTAAATAGACTTAGAATGTTGGAAATTTATATCTCGCTTGAACAACAAGAATTAAATTAGAGAACTTTATATTTTTAAGTTCATCAGGTTCGTATGAATCTTTTTTTTAATTGATTACAAATGTTTTGGGTATAATATTTATTTTTAACAAAGATTATTCCAAAATTTAAACATTCTGGCGAATTGGCGGAATTGGGCCTTTATTTAGATATTCTAAATTTGAACCCTAAATTACTTATTGCTCTTTGCAAAATTCGCAATCACAATCGCAATCACGATTATTTTATAAATATTAGTAATTATTATAACGTTAGAGTATCTGAATAAGGTCCAATTCATAAAAACATCATAATTTTGCTAGTTTTTAAAGTTAAAAATATTGAATCGAATCATAGAATTATAATGTAGTTACAATTACGAGCTAGTGGTCTAATTCGAATATATAATAAAGAATTTTACCTTATTAATTTAATGTTACTATAAGAATAAAATGCGGACAAATAAATGCAAGTATCTCGGCGTGGCTGTTTGCCCAAACCATAAATCGAAATCAATGCTTTTATATTGTCGATTCGTTTTGGAGTTTCTAACTCTAATTTCCCATCTGAGGGTTATTAACGTTGATAGCCGCTAAGATTCGTATCCATTTACACCAATCCGGTTTGAAAATTTCCCAGTTGGTGCCCAAAGAAAATACGTAATAACAATGATTAAACATTGAACAATTAGCGTAATACCAACACATCTTTTATTTCTTTTGTGGACTAAAAATTTTATATCATTCACCTTAATAAAATGAATCTAGATCACTGTATCACGATATGTTGCCAAAAAATGTAAATATCCCTTATCATAATACTCGACCCTCCCTTATATTATGAAATTTAATTTTTGCCATTGTTTTTATTTAGGACAGGATGTGATTTATTATATAATAAAGACATTAACGTTAATTAGAATGCTAAAGATTAAATAACATACGAGTGTAATATACAACGTTTTTTGATTTGGTTTTACATATATACATGCTTTCTACTTCGATATAGAATTATATAAAATCCATATTGAATAGTTTTTTGATTCTAAAGTTTATTTTTAAATCATCTTTTAAATTATGTTTTAAATTATGTTTTAAATTATGTTTTAAATTATGGTTTAAATTATGATTTAAATTACGGTTTAAATTATGTTCTAAATTATGGTTTAAATTATGGTTTAAATAGTAGCAAAACTATTTTCACCACCATCATCATCAAAATTTACGCCAAAGAAATTGTCCCTTCTTTCTGGAGGTTTATGATTATTTCTTTCTTGTTGCATATATTGTAACATAACCAAATCATGATTTGGCATTATAATATTTTCTTGTTCTAGTTCCTGTGTACTTGGTTCCTCTAGAAATCCTGATTCTACAAAATCGTTTACTTCCCTCGGTTGCTGCTGTTGTTCAATATCCATAATAGTCGTTTCGAATACGTTTGAATCCTTTGCACTGTGTCTTCGAAACGATAATGTAATGCATATTGCTATAATGCCTATTATTAATGTTATTATTGAAACAACGATTATAACTATTATCGTTTGTAAGGGTGGTAATGGTCCATAAATGGTTTGCATTTGAGTTGGTGTAGAAGATGAAATGGTTAGGTTAGGAAAGGTGGTTGTCTGGGAAGTAGTTGTGTTCGATGTTAAATGAGCATAACCAAAAGATTGGACATAAATATTAGGGAAAAGGGATAACAGGGTGAAGAAAATAAATAAAAAGAGAGTTATGCTATTATAAATTATTAACATTAACGTGAAAATGAAATTGGTGTTAAAAACATTAAATAATTCAATACTGATAATTTATTAGTCAATTCTGACCATATGTTCAAAAAAAAAAAAAAAAAGGTTTTTTAAAATTTGACCGTTCTCAGGAAGATATAAGAATTTCAGTTAAAAATTTTTTATTTTAAATCTGTGCAAAATTTATGTTGCGCCAAGTCTATTTGTCACATATTCTAGTTACCTATTAGATATTATATAAAAAATTCGATGAGAGTTATGTATATGTTAGTGAGCTAAGAATAAGAAAATTTATAGGACTTACTATATAAATTGTATAACTGTTAAATTAAGCATATGTCCGAATACACATCAGTTTAACTTTTTTGTGATCCTCAAGAGTTAAAACTTGAATAATATTGTCAATAATGGTTTGAAGTCAAATTGAATTTAATTAGTTTTAATTCGATGTAAAAAAAATAAAAAAAAAACATACGTATTTTTTGGTTAAATATGTCATAAATAAACTATATATAAGGGCTTTTTATTTTTAATTTTCCTAAAGTAATTATATGTTAAACCATATTTGTTCACAGTTAAATTTGATTTTGGTAATAATTTGAAATTTTAGATTACTTACCGATAACTGGTCCTCAAGTTTTTTTTTACAAATATACATACTTTCGGATCTGAAATTGATATAATTTTGCCAATGAAAAAATATCCGTCGCTTTGCATTTTATCTATGGACCCGTAAATTTGGAGACATGTGTAAAAAAAAAAAACTCACGCTGCATACCATCGTTATAAAAACTGAACTATAAAGGAGTATTTTCCCATGATTCATGGCTTACGGCACCTCGTGCAACCTGTGACAGTAAAAATTTAGTTAGTATTTCAAATATATTACTATAAAAAGAGATTAAATAAAAAATGTACTCGACGATTCTGAACATTACTTTTTCGTGTACCAAGGTTAATATTACCAGGTTTTGTCGATCACTGTGGCGCAGATCTCCTGACAAATCAGTTTTCAAGGATCAGGTGCAACCAGGGACGATGATTTTCTGCGGTGATAAATGGTCAATTCCGTCCGTGATAAAATCAAAT